GGGGGKGGGGGKGGGGKGGGGGGGKGGGGGGGTGGTGACCAGCAACTTGTGTAGATTGATACAGCAGGAGTGGGAGCCGTTTATTGTAGGACAACAGAGGTATTTATACGTTCCACACAGCTTATCTTAAATTAACATAAACTAGATACAGCAGTCAACCAATAAGAAATCTCCACACTTAATGGCTCGCTGGCACCACCTCACAAACCACTCCCCCTGGCAAAATGCCAGGCGCCATCCAGACTTGTTTACAGACTCTAACAGAATTGTCTACATTTAAAATTCCCTTGACCAAAAGGGGTTGGTATAGGAGGTGTCAGGGGAGAAGAGGAGAGATAGAGGCCTTCCATTAAGTTCTGAAACTAAACTTGATTTTGTGTCCTAGCCATGTCCCTTACAAGTTTTGTGTCCTATTAAAGCTTTTGTAACCTATAACCTTTCCAAGCCTATTGTTTTTGATTTACAAACTGAGAGTGGTCACCTCTTCATTCATGTAAAAAGCTTAGCACAGGGCTGGATATAGCTACCAGCTGAATACATGGTAGCTATCACCATTGTCTAAAACTGCGTTGAATGTATTGTATTTATTAATAAAAAAGAAATAAAATGTTTTGAAGAAACAGAAATTGACAAGTAGTAGCACACCAATAAATTTAATTCGGTATTATTTTCTGTAAAGTGAATTTTAACGATTTTGAGCTCTAGTTTGTAATATTGCAGTTATGATTTTGGTAAGAGAATTGTTTTTTATATGTCGTCAATGTATAGGGGCTCTGGTAAGTGTATTAACATTTACTTTATAAAAAATAAGTGTGGTAAAGAAACCTAAGTGTTTCTAATCTTAAATTTTGAGACTGAAAAAAAATTTTTGACTAAATTTTTTTATGTTACCATAAAAATCACCAACRTGACTTATCAAATAAAAAAGAAAAACAAACAAATCTTACTGTCATCAACAGATTGTCTTTATTATTTTCTATAGTTTCTAAAAAGTAGAATATATTGTAATATTTTGTTAAAAATAAATCTTTACACAGTTTTTGGAAGGTTAGTGGCAAACACAATTTACAAGTAAAAGTAATAATTTTCAGACTGAAATCAGTTTTTTTGTCTTTGTTGAATTTATAGAAGCAAGTTATATTACAGTGTCAATCTCTGAGCAGTTTCCATACTAAAGCATCTCAAGAAATGGAAAGCAAGAAGCCTTGGTAAAGCACCAGCTATCACCATGTTGTAAGTCAACACTGATTGCTCTCTGGTCCCCATCTCATGATGGAGAGCAAGAGGAAAAAGGGAAGGAATATGTATAGAAAAAAATTGAACCCTGAAATTACATTTACTTAGGGGTCCCTCAAAGGCATCTTGGTAAGGTTATTAAATTTTTGAGGAGCAGAAATATAATTGTTAAGGCTCAAGATCATGCATTTATAATAAAAATACAATTACCAATATGTAAATAATAGGCAATGTCATACTACCTTTTTAAATCTTGTTATTTAAGTCAACAGTATGCAGGTTTTTCTTTTGAATCCTTTAGGACTTTGTAGGCACACTGAAATTAGTTTTCATACAAATGGAGTAAGTACCAGATTCTTGAACTACATGGATATAAATGACTACTTTTTTATGAATAACYCCCAAAACAAATCTTTCTAACTTTAAGAATAATTTCAATAGTGAAAACTAACATTTCAAATTTTAAAGTTTCTGAAATATAAACAATTTATAAATTACTTTTGTATATGATGAAATTAAGATGCTTAGAAAGAAATAAGTAAGTGAAACTTAATCTGCATATACTAATGCTATAAAAGGATGACTTCCATTCTCATCTCCCAATTCACAGCCCCCAGAGTTCGAATGCTCATTTCCTTTCTTTAAGCTATGAGGAGCTATGTAAAGTGAAAAGCACTTTGGAGTGGCTAGTTTTCCAAGGAAGATCAAGACACTGTGAAAATCACTACACATACTGGTAGGCTTCAGCTCTTCTAATCGATATTATAACATGCATTTGYCAAGTCATACATACTTAATGTTACACTAAGGATAAATGGGAAAAAATTAGATTTATAATAAGATAGAGTTGGGTCTACTAATGTATTATTTATGGTATCATTTTAGTAAATGTATGCTCTAAAAAAAAAGTGAGAGGAAAATGTAGGCCATAATGGCAGTTTCATGGATGGATGTTTTTCTGTTTATGAATTTATCCTGCTGAAGAGCTGGAGCTTAGATAGAACTAGAGGAAAAGATAAGAAACCAGGAACCAAGAACAATAATTCCCATTAATTAATTCCCATTACCAGTGGGGTGGGGGGAAGAGGCGGGAAGAAATAAAGAAAAGAAAAAAAAAAGAACAAACAAAAACAGAAGGTAGAGCTTCAACCAATCTTTCACAAAAATGGTTCTAATCAGCTTGAGAGTCTCTGGGATTGATCTCAAAGGCACTTCCTAATAAACAACTGTACCCTCCCTTGACCCAACTGGCATTGGTTTAAGCGAGTTGATGATATAATGCTCTGTAGGATTTCACTAGTTTTGTGTAAGGTTATTTTTTGTGATACCATAAAAATTGCCAATCTAACTTATCAAATAAAAAAGAAAGCTTATATTAAGAGAGCCCTTCTTTACCTGTAATTAAGTCATAGTAGTGGCAACTAGAAGCCCATTAAAGCAGATGTAAAATACATAAGGACACCTATTTGGCTGGTAATCTTTACCACCACCTGCGTCCGTCCTCTAGCGTAGGCACACATCTAATGAGCCATGCAGGCAAAACACTGGATTGTCAAAAGGTCACTTACTTTAACTGCAGCAATATTTAAGGACTATCTTTCTTGATAGATTGGTTAGACTGAACAGAGGTGAAAAGTGAGTTTGGCATGAAGACTTGTGAACAGAAGCTTAACACATACCAGGTGTAAACAATTGATAGCTTCACTCTCTCTGATCATTGTTTTAATTTCTTAAGCTTTTAGCATTTGAGGGATATATGAAGAAAGTAAAGAGGTGATAAGTAGGGATTAGATCTGGCTTTGAATAGTCGATTTTTCCTTAGCTTTGTCAAAATAGACACCTTCTTTTGTAGCTTGAACATCTCTGTCACCATCTATTATATGAATATCTGAAGTATTTTTGTCATTTTGCCTCAAGCGGTAACTTTTATAAGCACGCTGAATAATGGTGGCTGAAACTGCCTCTTGTTTTCGTTTTAGAGTAGTTGTAATTGGTTCATATGTGATTTTAAAAGGGTTGGCTAATACAAACCCTGATTCTACCTCGGAGAGGAGTTTTTCCACCCTTGCATCTTTTCCCATAACTCTTTTAGTAAAAGCAAGTAAGATGTCAAGGCAGTGGATTCTGTCTCCAACAGCCATGGGAAGATCCATAGCAATGAGCTGACCCTTGTTTGGTTTTGCCATGAAAAGAGGAGGATCAAGAGCAGCTGCAAAGTCTGAAAGTTGGCTAGAGTCTATGTACTGTGTCCTATCAGGGTCAAACCTTTTCCATACCTGAAAGAATTTCCTGAAATCATCTTCACTCAAGGTCCTGGATTTTTTCTTAGAAACAATACTTAAAAACTCCATAACCACAACAATATACATATTAACAATGACCAACCATGATATGAGGATATAACTGACAAAATAGAAAATCCCCACAGAAGGGTTACCGCAATCTCCTCTAACCTGAGTCCCAGGGTTAATTTTATCAGGATCACAGTCAGACCATTTACTGTTGAAAATTGCATTGAGCATACCATCCCAACCAGCAAATATTGTAACTTGAAAAAGACAGAGCATACTGCTGCCAAAGGTTTCAAAGTTGGACACATCATTAATTCCAGCTTCTTTTTTCACATAAGCAAAATTGTACATTCCAAAGATCGCATAGATGAACATGACCAGGAAGATGAAAAGACCAATGTTCAACAATGCTGGGAGGGACAGCATCAAAGGAAGCATCAGATTATGGAACACCCTTGGTCCTTTTCCAAGACGCAGGACGTGGATGATCCGAGAGAGAAGGATCAGTTGTACAAGTGAAGGAGGCACAAGGTAGTATCCTATTGTCATAGGCAGAAACAGCCCTAGGTGCGGGAAAAGAAAGAGGAAATAAAACTGTTCAAATACAATTGTATTTAGAGAAACTTAAATTATTTTACTCTTACTTGCTTTTTCCTGTATTTGGTTAATCCTTTCTTAGTCCTTCACATTTAATAGTATATTAAAAGTTTGGATTAGTCAAATACTAATGGTGCTAATGATAAGGGTACCTAGGAAAATTTGGAAGAAAATTCTTATGGACTATCATCTTAAGAATTTTATGGATCAAGTCTTTTTTAAAAAATTATTTGTTTTAATTTGTTATATATGACAGCAGAATGCATTTCAGTTCATAGGACAAATATGAAATGCAATTTTCCATTTCTCTGGTTGTACATGAAGTAGAATCACACCATTTGTGTATTCATACATGTACCTAGGGTAATGATGTCCATCTCATTCCATCATCTTTCCTACCGCTATGCCCCCTCCCCTTTGCCCTAATCAATGTTTCTCCATTTCTCCCATGCATCCCCCCACCAGATCCAGTCTTTCTAGAATCACAGATGATTTGGATTCATAATAAAGAACATCAGCTGTATTTTTTCTGATAATTTCTGTATCAAGAAAGTTTGTTCAATCCAATCTGCACTGAATGCTAATAAAGGCATCATGCAGATATGCAAAGATGAAGGACATGATTTCTATTCTCGAACACTCTATAATCTGTTACCAGTTGTAGACATTTAAAATTATTACAATGCAAGTTATAAAGACCTAGTTGATAAATATAATTACAGAAACGCCTGGAATTCAGTGATGTACAGATTGTAATTTGTTTTCTCCATAAAGAGTGTTTGAGTCCTAGGAGTTTACATGTGAACTGAATATGGAAAGCTTTCCCTGGCACTTAGGGATAGTTTGCTTTGTGTCAAGAAGGTGGTGGAGGGGAGAATCCTGTACAGTTTGTAAATGAGATATTATGCTTGCTGACAGGAAGAATCCTGCCTTATACTGCTGTTAAACTTGCTCATGGACTCAGGAGACATTCTTCCAACCATTCCCTCCTCTCTCTGCAGTGCTTTAGGGAATCTTCCACTATGACCCAAGCTCTCATTTCTCCTCAATCTCTCAAACTCATCTTACGTAGGAAGTATCCTCATTTAATTTTAAACAAATTGTCTTCACATCCTCACTACTAAATTTTAAAACTTTTTCTTTTCTAAAATCTGAATTCACCCTGTTGACATTATTTCCATGCACTAATTTCAAGTGCATGAAGCTCATCACCCTCCATCCCCAACTCCATGTTTCTCAGGGAAGAAAGAWGGAATAGCATTTTTTTCTACCTTCTCAGTAAGATTTCCAGACACTTCTCTTTCCCACTATGTTTTTAATTAAAAAATAGAATAAAGTTCTGAAACTCTGTGGATCCTACCACCATTCAACTATACCATTTCTATCATTCTTTGGCTCTGTAATCTACTCATTGCACCACATTTATATTCATTAAAGACTTCAGGAATTGGGTCACTTCTGTTTCACCCCAGAATCTTCTACTCACAGCCCATTCAAAGGCCTATCTCTAGGTTTCCAACCTTTCAAACTTTTATAGTTTTTTTAATCATTTAATTTTAATAGTCCATATGTATAACCCCATTCTTGACCCAGGATACCTGACAACCTTGAAATCTCAAATTCAGTTTTCTTTTGACTACACTATTATAGCCCTCCCCAACCCTAGTTTTCTGATTAACAATTTCCACTTCAATCTCACAGAGTGCTTTAGTTCTGTAATTCACCTGTTTTCTTCCTATTACCTCCCTCCTGCCTTTATGTACTCTTCTATCAAGTTTTTTTTTATACTTTTCTCTGAATAACTGGTTGCATTAATTCCCTTATTGACTGAATTTCTGAAAATACAATTGGGCAAATTATTTATCTACATTTTCCAATAACAACTACATAGAGCAGTTCTTGACACAATGAACCCTTCAATATTGTCTCCACTCTCATGGAGTTACATTCTGGTGAGTGTGTCATGGAGCAGTAGACAAAGAAACTTCTTTCTGCCTGAAGCACATCTATAGGTTTCTATTTGAATTTTATATTTTTCTCTGACCTTTACTTACTGGTTGCTTCTCCCTGTTATGCTGCTATAGCACCCTGCACCTCCTTTACCAACTTCAATAGCACAGCATTTAAATGCACTATTCAATTATTTGTAACCTTTAATAGACTATAAACTGTGTGCATGCAGAAATTATGTCTCTCTCATTGATCACTGTGCTCTTGCATGTAGCACGATGTCTATTCACAAAATAATAATTATAAAAATGTTAAATAATTGAGATCTCCAAAGTAATAGAAAACCAGCAAACAATTAATTTAAACCTAAAATTCTCATATGTAAAAGTTGTAAATAGTTTTTTKTTTGTTTGTTTGTTTTACTATTAGAGGAAACAGAATAACAGTGAGTTTGACAAATCATGGAATTCTAACACATAAAGATCCTTACAGTGTTATCTAGAAAATGAATGCATGTTTTATCTGAATGTATAAACCAGCATTTATCTAGTGGTTTGTGATATGAAATCTATGCCATTGGTTCAAGAATTGTATTTTCAAATATTATCTGTCAGGCATGTGAGTATGTATGAATGCAAAAAATGCAAAATTTTATGTTGTGAGTAAAAAAGTTCCTACCTCTTTTGCTTCTTAAAATACTAGAGAAATTTTTTATGAGAGTTTTCTTGAATTGATATTACTACAAATGAAATTGTGACAAAGCAAATCTTACCTGTAATGGAGAAGATTACCACCACAAAATCTAAAATGTTCCATATGATTGTGAAATAGTAACAATGGAAAGAGATGAGCTTCAGTATACATTCTAGAGTATACAATATAACAAAAATTGCATTGATCCAGTAGACAGCAATATCCATTTGTTGACTCTGTTCATCACTTTGGATCATAATGGTTACTGCTTGAACATGGATAAGAACCATGATGATGATATTAAAAACTTGATTTGTTACCAAGTCAAAGACAAAGCCTTGGAACTTATTCTGTGAATAAAGAAAAAAACTTTAATAGTTTTATTAGTAGGATAAATATTCATGCACATAGTTTTTAGATTTTACAGCTTTCCTCCTAAAATAATTAGGAAAATAAGTGAGTCTAAATTTTTGCCAAACTGCAATGACAGTGTATAGTCAAAACAATGCACAACATGGTCCTTTAAAGTTTTGTCAAGGAACATATTTTACATTATTGTCAAAATAATTTGTTAAGAATTTTGGAAGCACACTTTCATTAAAATAAAGTCAATCTCTTTAAAGCTTCAAAAAAAGATCTAGACTTCTTCTTACTCTTGGGCGAGGTAGTGGTCTAGGGGAGTCTTCATACATTAGCCTCTTCAGTTTACGGTACTGTTTCCTCTGTTTTACTGTTATAAAGATATTTGAGCCTCCTTGGTAAAGCAACAAAAGAAAAAGATGTTAAAATGCCATATAATCCAAATTTTCCCTTATAGAAAATTTGAGAATTATTGATCTAACTTTCGCAAAAAGCTTAAATGTAAGAAACTAAATCATGTTTGAACATTTTCAACTTTGCATAAAAATACATAAAAAACCTGTAATATTGGCAATGAGTAATATTGAAAAACCTTTTTTTTTTTTAAATTTCCTGTGTGCAGCTAACMCTATTTTTCTCCTTCCAGTCTTTTGCGGCCCTTTCTCTTTTTAGAAGGTTTACTAAGGATGGCTGAACTCAGAAGATAAAAGTAAAGCTTATTGTGCCCTTTAATATGCAGGGATGAAGAGAATTGATCAAATATATATTTTCATATATTCTATGTTGCTTTGCTTTATAGATACTATCAGAAAATATTTTTATTTTTATTCCAAAAGTACCTTGTGCTGACTTCATAGCACCGCCTATGGCTGAATTGTTTTTGTGTTTCTAGTGCATATAATTTTATGATAATATAGGAATTAGGAATTGTTAATGCCCTTAAATAGAACCTGGTCACTTAACACTGACAGGAATCAACAACAGGTAGTACAGAAGCAAAGCATGGGAAGTTACCCACAGCTGGAAGTGACCAGGAAGCTGAAGCACCCAATCAGAAATGTGTTTGATCACTGAACTCTCTGTTATCATCTGATTAGCAGAGACTCAAAATGTTATACCAGATTTTGCACGTGATTTAGTTTAATGACACAGCTGAAGATGAAATTCCAAATTAAACCATTTTTTTTCTTTTGATGTTTTTGAAAGGCTTTTTGACAATAGGGCCCCTAGTAGGGCATCTATATGGACTCACATGTCTTTTGAGGTCTTTACTTTTGTGGCAGCCCTGAAGGGAGTCTTTGTGCACACAAGTGGTTATTCATTTCTGTCTGAATTCTCTATTCCTGGGTTTGATTACTCCTACTTAGGAGGCATTGAGTATATTGGTGTATACTTCATGTATTTGAGCAGATACACATTATTAATATCCATTTTCCAGCACATCATTATTTATAAAATATACATATAAAAATACAGGGAATTTTTAACTTAATTTTTTTTGTAGTTGTAGTTGGACAGAATGGCTTTATTTGTTTATTTTTATGTGATTCTGAGGTTCAAACCCAGTGCCTCACACATGCTAGGCAAGTGCTCTACCACTCTATAGCTCTAGCCCTAATTTTTAACTTTTAATCTGGCTGTGTATATATTAAATACTGAAAGCAATATAAGGAAGAACATTACAGCAATGTGCAACAATGTGCAAGAACAACAATCATTATTTTATTGCATTTGTACCAAATAAAAATGACATCGAGGACTGGGGTTATAGCTCAGTGGCAGAGTACTGGGAGGCACTGGGTTTAATCCTAGCATGTGGGAGGCACTGGGTTCAATCCTCAGAACCACATAAAAATAAAGAAAATAAATAAAGGTATTGTGTCCATTTACAACTAAAAATTTTTAAAAATTAAAAAAATGACATTGAGCTATGTGAATTGGTATTTTTATAAATGTGTTTGTTTTTTCAGTCATTGATGAACAAAAAAGGACTATTATACTTATCTTTATTTTATGCTTGTTGAAATTAGTAATAATAACACTGATCAGCATACTCAGAGGAAGAAATAATCCAAGGATAATGAAGCTGATAAAGTAATAATAGATGTAGAGGTTGTACTCAAAATCAGGCTGCATGTTAACCTAAAATTGAATTTTTAAAAATTAGTAAAATATTGGTGATAATTTATGTAAACCTAAGATTCATAAAACAATTTAGGATAAAAAAATCTAACAATGTTATTCAAGGTAATGTTTTCTGTTTACTCTCTGGTAAAAAGAATGCTATTGCTTTGCTTATTTAAACTCTAAAGTTTATGTTTTTAATGTTTTCTAAGAAAACATTACCTTGAATAACAATAATTTACTTAATTATTATTACAAAATATGGTAATCCCTCAAGTGGGCCTGTTGGGACTCAATCATTACATATATTTCTAGAAGGATTTCATTGCCCATGAAATATCCAACCTGAAAATATTTAATTTTTATAAATTATCCCCTGTCTCTTGTGCTTGAGTCACAAAAATGACTTTGCTTGAATCTTAATAATGCCTTTAAGATTATATGGTACTTACACCAACAGAATCAATTGCTGAATTCATAATAGTGATCCATCCATTAAATGTTGCCTATAAAAATAATATATATTTAGTTCTTAGGGAAATCTATGTTTCATGGCAAATAAAAAGTACAGCTCAATTTGCTATTAAAACTTTAAAGCATTTGATACTAAAACTTGCCATACTTCAACATACTGGATAACTGAGGTATTTAGCTTTTTAATTAATATATTATTTGTCAGTTATTTTTCTTAGTCTATTTATAATTAATAATACAATATTTTAAAATAGTTTATATTATAAAAAAGAAAAATAGGGAAATGGATGGTAAAGAAGTACATGCTGGCAAATGCCAGAATTACTGATAGGTATTATAGATGTGATTTTCTGTGAGATAAATAAGAAAGGAATGTCTGCCATTTAATGTCTGCTAGATACTGGGTTTCCTTAGTAGCCATTTTTGAAAGCACCAAATAGAAAAATACTAAAGGCAACTCAAGTAGGACCAAGGAATTGTGGTCATGTGACCACACGGTCAGTGATGATGGAAGCAGGTTTGGCCAATACCTGCTATTTCTGTTCTCTTCACTTCTTCCTTCCAATAGGGCAGGCAATTGTCACCTCTGTAACTCCAAATTATAATATATCTTATAAAACTTCTGCCTTAAATAGTAATTGATAAAATATCTTATAACCAAATGTATTAATAATTCATATCTTGTCCTTGACATTCAACTTACAATGTGGATGAATGCTGAGAGCCATAGCCAAGTAGAAATGATGCATGGCATTTTGGGTTGAAAGGTGACCCTGCTCAGGGATTAGGGTGGCTCCCAGGGTTTAGGGTGGATCCTGCTGGGAATAGGGCATATCCTGCTGCCTCAGGCACACGCTCCTTTGGAGTTCCCATGAAGTTCTCGAGGGGTTCTGAGAGAATTGGCGCGCAGAGCCTGGTAGAGGCAGTGTGTTCCCGGGAAGTGTGGGTAGAGTGTTGGTGAGAGTTCGGGAATAAAGAGTTGCTGTTTGAATCTACAAGGCTTTTGTGGTGGCTCAGTTATTTTTCGCCCAGCCAGACTGCGGCAGATGAACATATAATTGATAAAAAAAAAAAAGAAAGTCCAAAAGGGTACTTACTACTTGAAGCAAAGAGAGGAAACCATTTCCAACATTATCAAAATTCAGTTTTGCATTCTCCCATGGCATGGATTCATTCAACACAAGGTTTTCACACTGACTCCGATTCACGACTTCAGATACAGGAAACCTTTCCTCACTTGTTGGGTCAATGCATTCATAGAATGTGCCAGAAAATAAGTGTACTCCCATGATACTAAATATCAGCCAGATCATAAGGCAGACCAGAAACACGTTCAGAGTGGGTAAAATTGTTTTTATCAAACCTCTCACAACGACCTAGCATATAAAAAAATGAACATGCAAACTTTAGATCAGAAATGTAAAATTTTTAAAATTCTAATTACACATGTAATCTATTATAATTACATAATTCAGCTAATTTTCCACAATTTGGTTTAGAATCACAAGTAAATATCACCATATTGCAAAGTTCCAWGATGTGGTTAATAAAATCTGTTTTATAGTTATCAACTACAATTACTATTTTAGATTTTTGTGTTATAGTTATATAATATTTAGAATTTTTCTGTATTTGCTACATAAACTGTTTCTTCCCCAACTCCAATAAATAAAATACATTTGAGAAATAGATAGATCAAACCTAAGTCCTGTTATAATGAGTCAACCAAAGAGTCACATGAATTATAAAAATAATATCATATTAGCATATATATTAAACTATAATYAATGTGGACTATGGGTGTAACTTAGTGGTAGGGCACTTCGTTGCATGTGATAGGCTCCGAATTCAATCCCCAGAACCACCCAAAAATATTCAAATGTATAATAAATGTGCTTGTGATTTATATATGTGTATATATGTATATCCTATAAAAAGGTGTTAGTATTAAATTTTATGATATTTCAAAATATATATTTTAAATAACATATATTTCTATTTGAATTTCTCACTTCTATTTTGATGTAAAAATGCTTTTTGATCAAGCAGAAAGATTTTAAGTGTTATGGTTTCTTAATCAATGATATTTAATATGTTAAGATAAAGTATATAAATTACAAAGATAATGCAGCTTAAACATAAATAGGTTTTTTTTTATTCAGTCATATCATAGAATTGAAGATGTAATATTGGGTATTTTTAATTAAATACTGAGACTAATGTTAAATAATCTACATAAATAAAAATGTAAAATGCACATATACGTGCATATGTAATAAAAGGTACAATTGGACTTTTTGTTTCATTTCTGCCCACAATTGACCACTGTTTATCTGCATTCATATGATTACCGTTCATGGTGACCATAGACTCCATTGTTTCTTTTAGTTTTAATCATATGGGAATTCTATTACAGGTGCAAAAGATGAAACCCTGGACATTTTATATGAATGAATCTATTTGTTCTCTCCATATGGGTTAGAAAAGTCTTTAACATGGTAGTAGGGGAGGATGTAAGCAAAAATTAATAATTTGTGATGTCTGATTTTTAAAAAGTTAATTACTTTAGAATTCAAACTTTCCTCTCATTTAGTAAATAACAACTTTGTGTGTAAAATATTTTCACAATTAAAAATTTAGCTATCAAAATTTCATTTTCTGACAGTTACATCTTTAAAAATTGAGACAACTTCACTAACATGTATTTATTTGAGTTAGAAAGGTATTGTTTTTGAAACTATATTTTCCCTGTAGATTATTATGGTCTTTTCGCTCAGCTTCATTAGTTTTTATATCTTATGAGCAATAAGGACCTAAAGTCTCAATAAACATAACCAATATAAACATTCCCCTCTATTTTCATGCTATAGGCTATAAGTTTTTATTATATTGAAATTGATKAAAAGACAACAAATCTTGTTTATTCACAGAAATTTAGTAATCTCAAATAAAAACCCATATATCAGTCTAGAAACTTTATATTTACCTTCATTCTTTCAAACTGAGATAGAACTCTGAGTGCCCGAAGGAACTTAATGGAAGTAAGTGGTTTTAAATCTTCCCGAGTTTTGCCTAATAAGCTAAGACAAAACACCTGTAATATTTTTTAAAAAGAGTTAATATGACTGTCTTAATTGAAATAACATATAAAATAAACTTCATATTTATTATAAAATGATAGTCAAAGCTTTCAATAAAACTTTGAAATATTTTCAGATGTTTCAAAATGTTATTATTTATTGACTTAGAACAATTTATWAGACCATAATTGTTAAAATCACTTAAAAATATAATTTTTTTTCTGTAATAAAGAGTATAACAACATTAATATAATATGTACTTATATTCTTTATGATGAAGAATTATATTTATAAAGACATTTTAAAATTAAAATTAAAGAATCAATTTTATAATTATTTGCAACACAGTATTTATATATGATATATGCATTAAAACAAGATTTGGAATATATTCATATATTCACCCATGTGAAATTATGATTAATAAAATGTGCCCAATAAGATTTCAGAAACCAGGCCTCAAGAAAGGTATGAATATTATTGTCAAAAGTACAAATTACAAAAAGTATAACTATGTACTGAAGTGATTTTAAAAGTAAATATGTGTAGATAAAAATGATTAATGTTTGAGAAATATTAATCAAAATTGAGCAAGGTGATAGAGCTATGCTTACAATTTATTATATCTTCATGTTTTCTAAATTTTCAAGTCAATGAACATTTTTTTCCTTATACTAAAGGGAGGATGATCTTGAGTTAGGCTTTGAAGCATGGGAGTCATTTATATAAGCAAAGAGTGGTGTGGACATGTAAGAACAATGACTAGAAAGTGGGAAGGTGATTTTGTTAAAGTGCAGTTTGACCGGAGTAGAAGATAAATTTGTAAAAATTAATTTAAAAGGCAGAGGTCAGTTATTGCAAGCCATTAATTGTAGGTTGAGGAGTTCCCTATTGAGGAGATCTCTCTTTATTGCTACAGAATGTGGAGTCATTTGTTCATTAAACACAAGTTTCGAATTTATTTAGTGGTCCTAATGAGAAATTCTTGTTGCTTGCTATAATTCTTACTCAATTGTGGATATTATTTATTTATTTAAAAGTCAAGTCAGTAGAATTTAAAGACCTTAGGAAGCTGGTATTTTCAAGATATTGTGCAACAAACCTATTCTGTTAGCAGTGGGTTCACAGGTATTTCAATAGTCCAGGAGCCTAGTCCTGAACTTTTAAAATTTTAGAATGACAAGATGAGGATAGATGTTAAACACTGCAGATAAATAAAGATGACATGTAAGCCACTAAAAATGTACAGAGAAGGGAAACAGGAGCTATAATGAAGCAAAAGAATGAGATATGAAAGAGTAAAAATAGGAGTAAATCAAATAGTCTTTAAATATTTTTTTCTGTAAAATACATACAATGACAACCATGAAGTCCAGCTTGTACCAGCCATTGGAAAAATAGGCTTTGAAACCATATGCCATCCACTTTAGAAGCATTTCAAGAATGAAGATGTAAGTGAAGATCATGTCAGCATACTCCAATAAGATTTTAATAGTCTTTCGTTGATCTATATATATATCTTCAAAAGCCTGTGGGTAAAAAAAATTAAGTATTTGCCTAATATAATTTCAACAAACTCTTTCACATGTAAAGGAATGAAATTCTATCTCAAATACAATAAAATGCATAACTAAAGAAGAAGGGCACTTCATAATGATCAAGGGATCGGTCTCATAAGAATAAATTTGTGTGCACAAAATAATAGTTAAGAAAATATATTTAAAATTGAAATCAAAAGATCTAGAAAAAGATGAGTCATATGGGAAAAAATTACATTCTTTTTATAGTTAAAAGTACAACAGAAACAAAGTATTAACTACATTAGTTAGAATATAGCAGATGGAGAGTTAATAAAAATTACAAATGACATAATTGTATCCAATACATCCTATCACATAACATATTCTTCAAAAGTACATACWGTATTGATTCTGGTGTTGCTCACCAAGGGCCCCTTTATTGGGAAAATCTACTCATTCCATAGTGACTCTGAGTATTGCTTGATAACACACAACTGAAACTCTCTGGAGAATTGCATCTACCATACAAGAAGGAGGCAGATTTCTCACCCAGGAGCAGATTTCCACTCCCAAATGGGATACACCTCAGACAATGGCTGATTGACACAGAGATGCTAAAGTCAGCAATCTTTTCAATGAAGGTGGAGTACTATTGTACCCTCTAACTGCAGAGCTTCCCTGTAAAATCAAACTGAATCTAATATTGTTTGAGGAGCATGAAGAAACCTTAATGACAGAAATGCCTTTAAAAACCACTTTTTTTTTTTTTTTTTTTTTTTTTTTTTTTTTAAGATCTACCTTCTCTTCCCGTTCAGGCCACCAGCAGAATAAAAAAAGTCAAATCTCTTCATAAAGTAGCTAGAGAAGCACTAATATTGCTAAGGAAGGACAGGGATTGTATTCTAGAGGACTTGGTTCATAGGTAGGATGCAGTAATATATGCTGAAAGGAAGTGAGAGAGTCTGCCTGGGATCCTGAGGAGCTGGGTATTACATTCCAATGCTGCACAAAAGAGTAGCACAAAATGAGGGTACAATACAAATCTATGTTAAAACAATGACTGAAGTCAGATCTGTGTCATTGGGCTAAAATCAAAGTGTTAGGGAGGATGATTTCTTTGTTTTTAATGTACATTTTTAGTTGCAGATGGAAATAATACATTTATTTATTTATTTATTGGTGCTGTGGATCAAACCCATGTCTCACAGTTACTAGGCAAGTTGCTCTACCACTGAGCTACACCCTCAGCCCTAGGGCTGATTTCTTTATGAGGCTCTGAAGAGATAATCTATCTCCATTCTTTTTCAGCTTCTGAGGACTGCCTACATTACCTGGCTTGCATCGTTTCCCTTCCTCTTCAGATCATCTGATGCCAGGGTAGGCACTTTCATCTTCATATCATCTTTTCTTCTGACTCTGACTCCTCTTGCATTTTTTTTTGTAAGGACCTCTGTGATTACATMAGGTCCATATGGATAATCCAGGGTGATATCCCCAGTCCAAGATTCTAAATTAATTATATCTGAGAAGACCCTTTTGCCATATATTAATATTTGCAAGGTCTGAGGATTGTGACATGAGCATGTTTAGAAACCATTCTTTAGTCTACTACAAGCTTGATCAGAGAGGATAGAATATAAAGCTAGATAAAAAGGTAAATATGTAGCTTATGCAGTCACTCTCCAGTGACAGTAATTAACATCATATTCTTCATTGTATGATGACATCATATGAATTTCATCTTAGGAACAAGATAGTAAATTCTCTAGGTCTTTTGGAGAGACATACATTTTCTACCACTAAGAAAGACTGACAATACAGTGGGTCTTTTCAGGTTTGAAATCAAAAGTTCACATGAAAACTGTTACTTTTCAGTAGGACCTAGTACAAGAAAGTGTTCTAAAATAGATTTGTTACATTCTAAGTAACTGTTCCACTTGAGCCATGTAAAGATACCATGATGCTTGAAAAAATCTGTGATGGAAAAATATGTAGGGAAGAGTATCTAGCAAGTCAGCTTGGGGTATTTGTGCTTTCCCATTACCTTAACACTAGGAAAAGTGGAATCAGAGGTTTTTGATCCTATAATAGGGGATTAGATGACAGTCTGTCTTCACTAAAACTCGAACTAAGATGTCATATGGTAAATTTTGTAGTAAGATGAAAAGAAAAGAAGTTACCAGACTAAAGGAATAATTGACTCTAATGATCACAAGAAAGTGGGATGCTCCAAGATGCAAAGAGGAAGAAATAAACAAGCACAGAACTGTTTGCACCTATTATTATAAAGTTCAAACATGGATAAAAGTAATCTATGGCATTTGACATCCACAAAATGACTACCACTTGGAGAGGGGAAGTAACTGCAAGGGGTGAGAGTACAGTTCTAGAGTTTCAGTGATGTTCTGTTTATCAATCCAAGTGACAATTACACAGGTGCATTCACTCTATGGGAATCATTGATGCTGGACACCTAAGACTTGAAGTACAGTCTTCAGAATGTGTGTTAAATGTCAATATAAAGCTTACTTTGAAAAGACATTCATTGCAAAGTCTGGTTCCCAACCATGACTTCAATGTTTTTGCCCTGTATCACACAACTAACTAGCTCTTGTATATTCAGTTTTGACCTATTTTAACCAAATGCAACAAAATTCACTACACATTCTAGTCTTCTTCTTTTCCTACATAAAATGCAGCATGACTACATATTATACTAGACCTTTCTTATTTTGCTTTACTATATCAAGGAGTATTGCAGTATCAGTATGCATTTGGCATCATTTTAAAAAAATAATTGCACAGTAATCCATGAGGTCATTGTAACATACTAGAAATTCTCACCTATTATAAACTTTTTCCCCACCCAAACTTTACTATTATTAAAAAAAGTCTTTCTGTGAATAACCTCTTTTATGCAATTAGTACATATTCAGATATTTGTAGGATAATACTCCAGAATTATGATCTTTGGGTCAAAGGGTAAATATATTCACAGTTCAAAGGCCCTTAAAAATCATGTAATACTTCCTTTCTGGTGTGGAATAGGAACCATAGTACTACGACAACATAACAGTTTGAGTACCTAAATTATTAATTAAAACTTTATTAAAATCAGGAGAATCAGGTATTTTTTATTTACTTTCCTGCTATAACTCATATATTTTGAAATGACATTATTGATTAAATCTTTACACTTAAATTTAATATTCATATTAAATAATACATTGATGAACTTTCCAAGAAAGTGTAACATAGAGTTTCTAAAATTAAAATCACAGAATATGAAAGTTGGTGCTGTACTAAGTAATAAGTATTCTGGGAAAATAAATCTGGCAAGGTGACTTTCTGAAAGCAAGAATTATGAAACATTTGTCCCCATTAAACATCACTCAAACTGTGGGCTCACTTACCAGGGCACCTGTGCTGAGCAGAGTCACGAGGCCAATGAAACACCTAAACCAACAGTTTTCTACTATCTTGCAGCAGGTTTTCCTTATGTTCTGCCAAATTTTTGCTTTCTTGGATACTCTACTGATTTGACCAGGTGAAGATCTTTGTTCAAAACCTGTCAAGAATGAAACCATCCAGAACAAGCATTTAGCAAATGCATGGAAAGAAACATCTCAAACCTTCTTATTTATTTATAGATTCTAATACAGCTGGTTTCATATTTGTGAACATTTGATTGTTACCTTTACTATAGTGTGCATAATCACTAAGGAGAAAAAGAAAAGCTTAACTTGTTGGCTCATTAGTAGTAGGAGAAAAGGAGTTGGAAAAGGCAGGRTGACTTAGAACATCCCCTCACTATGTGGGACAATCTGAGAATAGAACTAATTCCTTGCTTTTACAATTATCTTCTGAACATTGCATTTTGATATCATGTGACATTCCTGTTTAGAAACACAGATTCTTTTAAGACGTTAAAGAGATATAATAAAGTGTATTGTTTCAATTTTAGTTCTTGGTTGGCATGGGCATGGGAAATTGGATGTGACTGTTTAAGGAGGTAACAAGGGTTATGAAGTACTTTGTGGGATGTGTGTATGCATTTGAATCTGAACTTTGCCTTCCAGTCAAGAGAGTTGCAGAAAGAAAATGTGAGGCTTAAAAGGGGAGTGATTAACAGGTGAGAAAATGAAGAAATGGATGTGGGTGGAATTTAAAGTAAAAACATTTAATTTTACAATTTTCCTCAGAGTCAAATTATACATGTCTAGTCAAAAAATATAGGACATGTTTCTTCCTTTGTCTTAGATAATAAGCATCCTAGAATTTAAGCTGCTGAGAACAGATTATTATTTTGAAGATAGAAATTTGAGTACTTAGTAGTTCCATTTCAATGACTTTTCAGTGATGTCAAATGTTCAAACTTGTAATCGTTCATTAATATTGTTAAGAAACCAATTTGAATTACAAGTAATTGAAAGGTGTGTCCTATATACCTAGGGGGTCAGATTACTGACTGGAACCATATAGTATACACTTCTACACTTCTTAATATTCATATGAAGCATAGAAGTATGTCATCATCATGATTTGTTTTTCTATGAAAGCTATAAGATGTTTTCATGAATATTTTAAATACTGACCCCAATCCATGAGGTATAAAAATACTTCAACATGTAAATATGTCCACTTCTATACAAACATACATACACACACACACACACACACACACACACACACATTCACTTCAGTGAATACACATACACACATGTATTTTTCCAGTGCTCATTTAACTATGCTAATTTTCTGTTTTAGTCCTAAATCATGCTCTATTTTAATATATGTAGGTACACAATTAATAGTGTAAAATTAAATATGGACATGATGAGTTTACCTAATATGATTTAAAGCATGATCAATGAAATCAACATCATAAACAATATTTCACTGCCATACCACTACTCATGGTTCTTTTCTACATTAAATATAAGACAATTCAGTGAATGCTGCTGCTGCTGCTGATGGTGTTATTTTATTGAAAGCTAYTTCTTCCTTGGGTCAGGTTCTCTTTCTCTTCTGAGATTATATGTACATACACATGCACACATACACACTTATTTAATATTTTTAATAACCCCAGGGGGCTTATCATTTTGAAGATTAGGAAACAGAGAGAAGATAAGTAAATAGTACACATTTGTCTGATTCCAGAGTCAACCTTTGCAACCATTACATTAGGCTCTCAGGGAAATAGGCTCTATCCCTCTTTCTCCAATGTTGACTTTTTTCTTGAAATTTTATAAGTATCTACCAGGATTTGGGACAGTGTTCATGCATGTTAATATTTGTATCCCTTTGCAAAATTAATAAACTCTTTACATTAAAAGTCAATTCAATGGTATTATTTAGATTAAGGGACATTTAGTCTAATTTCCATAACATTACCAAAGAAACATTTGTCTTACCATTTTTAAGATACTTTGCCTTTTCACATTMATATACCATTTCCTCTTCTTCAGAGATAGCAATATCAACAGTACTGCATTCAGATGAGCTAGATTGCTTTATTTTCTAAAATATATAAAGACCCACCAAAAGAGTTGTGAGTTTAATTTGCTCATTGTCACCAAGGTTCATTTCATTCATTTTCAAAAGTGAGAAAAAATATGTACAGAAAGAACATTTTTAGGTTTAAAAGAGTTTAGGCCAATTTCATGATACTGAAATGTGCATTTATTGGTGTGAGTTGATGGTTTTAAACAAATAATGTATGCTAAAATAACTTTAGATTAAAATGAACATTTAGGTAATAACATTTTATTCAAAAATGCATAAATAATCACCCAATTTATGAAAGGATTTGGGATCTAAATTTTTATTAAGGCTATTAATAAGGGTGGCTTATATGCTCTTTCATGTAGATGAGTAGCATCAAAGTAAATCATTCCTTGATGCTATGTGAATAAATAACCATGTATTGTAAAATTCAGTCCAGTCTTGTGTTTCTCATCAGTGGATGGGACTGATATGAGGCTACTGTTGAAATAAAATGAGGGAAAGACACAAGGAGTAGCACCTAGGACAGACATAGGAGAGTGGCACGAGTCTTATGGAAAGAGCCTTGTTGCAGAGATGAACCTTATTTCCCTCTCTACTCTTGACTAAAGTTCAAGTCTGGCTAAACCCAGGTGATCACTGCTTTGTACATATGATAATAATGCAAATGACATGCTTTATCTTTAATTAAAATTATTTTCACATAGTCTTTCATTTTTCYTTATTTAAGAATAAATATACAACATATCATCCAACAAATCACCATGATCCTAAAGTTAATGGCATATAAATTGTATTCTCTAATATTTCCAAGAAAGCCAGTGTGACATGGATAGAACTCAAACAAAAGAGGAAATTATGAATATTATAAATATTTTATCATGCCTTTTGGTTTTCAATAAGTATGAATAACAGAAAGTTTTGCTTTAATCCTTACAATGCCAGTTGTCAGCAAATGATTATGGTGCTCAACTAAACAAAATTAAGCATCTAGAGAAATGTTACCCAACAAAACTGAGTTTTAAAAAGTTATTTCAAGTCTCAATTGGCTTTATGTCTTCTTTGTTGATTTCTAATGGGAAAAAAACTGTAGAAATGTATTTATCTAAGAATAGGAAATTAATAAAGAACTATAATATTTTGGCATTCAATTGTTATAGTCATACACCTTATAATTATATTTTTGAGTTTTTAAAACCCTTGTTAACATACTTCTTGAAGTAAATTTTTCATAAAACCCTGTTTTCTAAGTTTTAAAAATAAATCGAGATAAAAATAACAAATAATTTATTTTAGTAGATTATTTAATGGCATAAAAGTGACCATGATATACTGCTAGGTTATAGAAAAAGTTACAAAATCAGATGTAAAGTGTATTATTTTTACAATAAATACATATTTTAATTAAAACTTAATCAAAATACTGTAAGCAAAAATATAAAAATAGTACTGTATGAATTATCAGATCACATGTGGTTTTTATGTTTTATTCTCTGATTTTCTTAGATCAACATATTAAATATTTACTGGATGCAGAATCTGAAATCTGATTAATGAAATTATATGCATAACTAAACATATAAGTAAATGAATACATCTCCTGTGAGTATTTAACCAAGAAATAGGACTAAATAATCATGTAGCATACATGACAACTTCTGAAATTTGAACACTTACATTTATTTTTACATTAAGTCTTTCTTATGTATTTTCATACTCCAGACTTTCTAAAGATGCTGCAAGAAGTTTCCAGATATCTGCCAATATGAATTTACCTAGAGATGAATGGTAGTCAAAGTCTTCAGAGATGCTAGAGTAGGGTTTTTGGCAGCAATTTCTCCTGTCTTCTTTTAATGGTATTAATTAAGTGTAAATATACCTGAGAATATTGAGTAGGTTAAGGGGAKAAAATGTTTCTCTAACTAAAACAAAGTTGTCTTTAATAGGTGCTAGAAAGATCCTTTTTAAGTGAAATTCAATTTTTCTAAAATACCAATTTGAGAAGTAATTATGGAGAGGATCTGTCAAGCCAGGAGAGTTCTGGGGGAGAAAATGGTGTAGAGATGTTGGACCCCTGCAAAAGGCATTCTCTGTTCCTTCTTGAGGATTTTGAGCAAACTGAAATGTTCCTCACATAGGTCCAAAGCAAAAAGCCCATAGTACATTATGTGATCCTGTAGGTTTTGCTTTCTATTAGATCACACTCTAGTTAAGTCATTATGCTGCTTGCAAATGGAGATTTATAAGACTCTTCCAATAAGGGAGCAAACAGTAAGCCAACAAAACCTACTCTTTTTACAAAATGTAACCCCTTTCTTTTTTTGAAGCCAGTGGTTTACAAAGCTACCACCTATTCATAATTCAAACTATTTGTTTTTCTTCTTATTCTTTTAGTCTAATTTAATTACTTATTTTATATGTTGCAGAAATAAAATGGGTATAATATTAGAATTTGAGCAAGCAAGAAAGAATATTTGCTCTCTTCTAATCCATTCTCATATCTTGAAGATGATAAAGCCCAGGGAAGTTGAATGACTTCTCCAATCATACCCATTGATTTTTACAAACTTCGTTTTTTAGTATGCTTTTCATCACTGTCTGCTTATTAATTTATAGAATTTCACAATTACGTTAATGTTTTCTAAGTAATTATGATATATAAGGTATAATTGGTTGTGCTATTAGGCTATTTTTCTTAGTTCTATCTTGAGTCTTGTACTTCCTTAAGAAGTACAACTTTATCCTCATCTATAGATGAAGAAATTAAAGTTTAGAAGTGTAAGTGATTTAAGTAATATGACCAAGAGCATAACAACAGGAGTTAAGTGTGGGGGAGATAGGGTTGAAAGGGTAATCTAACTCTGGAAGTTCAGCATAAACTGACTTCCTTATCAACAACACCATACATAATCAGCAATCAGGAAAATAAAACATCTTACATCTCTGCTGTCTCCATTGCCTGACTTGCTCTGAATCTCCTTGTTATCCAGATTTTCCACATCAGATTCTCCCGAAGCAATTGGTACAGTTTCTGAGACACTGGGGCTGGGGATAAGTGACTGGCTTTCATTGTCAGTCATTGTGTTTTTCTCTGTGCCACTGCTCTTTTCTTTATCTTTGAGGAAAACTTGGGTGTTGCTGAATTCAGAAAGTGTATGGTCAGAAATGTTCTCTTTAACATATGTATCATTTACATGGTCGGTTGTTTCCTGTGGAACATTTTGCTTTTTGCACAATATTTTATGAAGCACATAGTTTACTCCTTTCTTAATCCTTGCCATTGCAAGCTGGATATTTTTCACTTCATTGTTCTCTTCACTTGTTGAGTCTTTGTATGAACTAAATGAACTCACCAGTGCCAGAAAGAGGTAAAGTACCTAAATGGAAAAGTAAAGGACAGTGGAATGAATCAGACATTATTACCCTATGTGCATTTATGACTACCTGACCATGTGATTCTACATTATGTACAACCAGAAAAAATGAGAAGTTATACTCCATTTATGTATGATGTGACAAAGTGCATTCTACTGTCATGTATAACCAATTAGAATAAATAAAAGAAAGAACAGTAAAGGAGCATAAGTGTAGCTCATGTTGTGTTTCTTTTAAAACAATAATAAGCAATCCTCTAAAAAGGCTGACCTAAGACTTGAGGACGAGCATATGGTCTACAGGCTGTTCGGTTTTTATTCACCGTGGCAGATGTTGTGCTGAGTCTGTGTAACCAGGACTCTGGTTGTAAACTCACAACATTCTGTGCAACATGATTTGTTTCTCCTTTAGAGATGAAAAAAGGCAATGCTTACAGATATCATCAAAGGTCACATGGATTAGCCTCAAGACTGTCTTATTCCAAAGCTTATTTTATCAGTCAGATTGTCTTTCTCAAGGCAAAAAAAAAAAAAAAAAAAAAGTGAATTGCTGTTCTAGGTGGCTGTCTTCACTTTGAGATATCCACACATTGAGTGAGAATTAAGTGCCCATATCAAAATCAAATAATATGAAAAATAAATAGAATTAAAAATTTGGTGAAGTAATTATTTGTATGATTAAGAATCTAGAAATAAACATGCATCAAGGCTTCTAACATATATTGAAGATGTTTTATTTTAATATTCTACTAATAGTTTAACAAAAATTTAATTTGGGAATATACACATATATATGGAATAGTGCATGATTAGAATTGCATTGCAACTCTATTTTGTATTGTTTTTAATTTATTTACATATTTCTATTATTTACAGTTTTGTTTATGCAACCACAATCTGTATATTTCACCTGGTGGCAACTATCTAAATCACAGGTAAAACACCTAGAAAAAAAAAAAAAACGGTCTATTAGGAATTTAAACTTCTAAATAATGTTAAATGATTAATAAAACCTATAGATCTGAAGTTGAAATTTTATAGAGAAATAAAACAAATATTCATAAACTGTTTATATGATGCTAAACGATTTTATTTGTTTTATTTATGTTATGATAACATCATAAGCATTCATTATTTTTGTGTTCATTCTCCCATTAAATATAGTCAGGTTTAAAAAGGCTTCATAATATGCATAATAAGCACTAGTTAGTAAGTGACAGAACTAGAATTTAAACCTATGTTTGTTTGGGTTTGCATTCTACTTTTCTACAATTTAACATTTTTTGAAAACCACATTGAACTCTTGCCTTTGCATATGATGTTTAAAAGGTTTCTATGTAGCTCTGAATCAGTGTTGGAATTTTATTAGGAGAAAAAGACAAAACTAAATTGAAAACTGCAGGATAGTTTCAGTTTGCACCATCTACATTGTAAGTGTTGAGGGTAAAAACTCAAATAATTCTCCCCTTTCATTTGTTTTTCCTCTTGTATTTACTCTAGTGCTGTTATCATGGTGTCCCAGTGATGGACAACTGCTGAAAGAAATAAAGCTTAAAGGACTTATAGAAAGAAGAAATATGATGGTCAACAACTGGAAATGGAAGTTCATGACTTGAAGTTTCTGGTCAGTAGAAACAAGAAAAGAAGAGAGTGGAGTTCATATATTTGCTTCAGCATTTCTGCTTCTTTGAGTTTGGACTACATGTTCGTGTGCGTGTGTGTGTGTGTGTGTGTGTGTGTGTGTGTGTGTGTGTGTGTATGTGTGTTATTGTTGTTGTGGTTGTGGTTACTTTTCTCAACAGTCATGGCCCTTCCTTTCAGAGACAGAAATCTACATTTCACTTGGGATATTGCCCTTTTCTAATTAGTCCTTGGTTCGGACTGATGCTATCTCTACCTCCAAGGGAGGGAGGGCTCTGAGTAGTTTACTGTCATAAATGTATTCTACACCCTGGGTAATAGAGATTAGTTCAGAAAAGAGCATGTAACTCAGAGTTAGTAAAATAATAAAAGTTTACTATGGCTTTTAAGAAAGGAATTCTCTATCGACTAGATATGTATCATGGTTTGGATGTAATGTGTCCCCCCAAAAGCTCACGTGTGAGACAATGCAAGAAGGTTCAGAGGAGAAATGATCAAGTTGTAAGAGTCTTAACTCAATCAGTGACTTAATTCCCCTGATAGGAGTTAACTGAGTGGTAAGTGAAGTGGTAGAGTATGGTTGGAGGAGATGGGAATTAGTATGTGGCTTTGGTGTGTATATTTGTATCTGGAAAGTGGAGTCTTTGTTTCCAGATCACCATGATGGGAGCTGTTCACTGTCCCATGATGTTCAGCCTCACCTACAACTCCAAAGAATGGAGCCGGCCTTCTATGGATGAAGACCTCTATGAGCCTGCAAATAAACTCTTCCTCCTCTACAGTTGTTCTGTTCAGATCCTTTAGTCCCAACACCAAAAAACTGTCTAAAACAATATGATATGAATATGTGAAGCTTTAGATTGCAGCAGCTGTCTTGGTAAGACACAGAACACCAAGGTTCAAGGAGGACAGGAACGACAGAACACAGAGGTGCAGAGCATGCCTACAATGTCTCCATCTGAACCTCTGTGCCATACTACCATGGAAACAAGATCTAGCAATGGTATTTTGAATTATGTGTACTGATCTATCAATTTGGTTTTGTTTCATCCATTTAGAATAGTGTTCTATGACCCTGGGAGTTGGAAGTGTATTCATAGCAACAGAGGACAGAGGACAGAGAAAATAAGTATTTTTTATGTTGGGCACTGTTCCAGGTTTTGTGACATAGAGAAGTGCCATGGCCCCTTCTTTCATGGAGTTAACAGTTCAATAAGGAAACAATCACATCAAGAAATACAATGCCAATGTGATAAATAAATAACAATGAGATAAACAAGATGAAGGGAGGGCACAGATAAAATTCAATCTAACCTGTGATTTATTTTATTTTTCCTAGTCTTTTGGAAAATGTATTTGATCTTTATGACATATGGATAAAAAGCAATTATTGAGTCTTTTTTCCTGTAAGAATCATTTTTATAAGATACACCTTTCTCTTAGAAGCAGAGAAAGCCACTGATTCAATTCACCCATTAAGTTACTTGAATATTTTAAAGTGAAACCTTCTTCTTTTAGTTAATGCATAAAGTTTTTATAGATTACCGGTTTACAGTCTTTGCTGCACTATTTAGTCAAGTGAGATTTTTTAGAAAATTTTGATGACCAAGCCACATATGAATAGCATCAGAATCTCTGGGAGTAGATCCAAGGCATCAGCCTATTATCATTAATACCCCAGGTAACTCCAATGTGCAGGAGAGTTTGAAAGACATTGTTATATTTATGTGCTTCTTACAATTTAATGTGCACACAAATCACCTGGGGTTAGTATCATAATATAGATTATCATTCCAGAGGTCTAGGATAGGGTATGAGTTTTGCATTTCTAAGCATCTCCCACATGATACTGATGATCCTTTTAGTAGCAAGGTTATAAAGTATTGYTATCCAAAAGAAATATGATGCAAGTCCCATATGTAATTTTGAACAAAAAATATATAAGTGCAAAGAGAAACAGGTGAAATTAATTTTAATAATGTATTTTATTTAATTAAWARTKWWTCAATAGAATCATCATTTAAAAATCCATTCAATAAAAATTATTGCTAACATAATTTATATTATTTGGGGGGAAAACTTCAAATCCAGTGTGTCTTTTTAAATTTCTTGCACATCTCAAATGAAACTAGTCATATTTCAACTCTTAATAGCCACATGTGGCTAGTGGTCTCTATTTTGAACAATGCAGTTATGACCACTGGGTCATTGAAAACACCAGGCTATATTACACCAATTTCTACAAGGAAAATGTAAAAGCATGGAATCCTTACCAGTAAGTTTCCAATTAAAATGACCATCATGTAAAAAGAGATGCACCAGGGTTGGCCTGCTACCTCCATGCAGTCCCACAAGGTTTCTATCCACTCTCCACAGAGAATTCGGAACACATTAAGGCAGGAATGAAAGAAGTCATGCATGTGCCAGCGTGGGAGTTGACAGTTTTCATCTATGCGGCAGACACATGCTTTGTAACTCCAACCAAACAACTTCATGCCAAACACAGCAGAAAAGAAGATGAACGTGAACAACAGCAGAATCAAGTCTTTCAGGGCCGACAGTGAGTTTCCAAGAGTCAGCATCAATATTTCAAATGTTGGCCAATATTTCCCCAACTTGAAAATACGCAACTAATAGAGCAACGTAAACAACAACAAGAAGAAGAAACAAACAAGAAAACCTGGTCGTTATTCATTGTGATGTGCATTTAAAATTTTTATATGCACATACACATACACATTTATCACCTTTAAAGTAATATTTAGTATTAACTAGTATTAATATACATCATCAATATTCTGAATATTTTACATACAGTTCTTAATGCATCTTAACATATTCTGTAATTTTGTACACTGTTTATATCTTTTTCTATTGATCTATTTGTCAACTCCAATTTTGTATTGTGCTCTTATAATCACTATAGATTTATGTTTTAATATCTGGTAGGACAAGTATCCATTCTTTATTTTCTTTTTTTTTTTTGCTTTTCACAGGCATTGGAAAATTTTCCACAATATACATACAGGTGACACTGGAAAGTTTCATCAGGATCCACTCAATTTTGACATTGAAGATCTTATTGTATATTTTTATTTTAAAAATCACATATCCAAGACCAAATGCAGCACTCCAGGTTTAGTCTAAATATCCTTCTATTTTATTAGATTTTTAAATTCGTATTTATACAGTATAAAATTAGCTTAATATTTTTGGGTACTATAACTAGAGTTAGCATAGTGTACTTAGAGTCATCTAAAACCTATACATAACATGAACTATATCTTCCGATCTTTTCTAGTATATAGTTAGCTTTCTGGACTGAAGAGTAAGGCTTTATATTAACCAATATAAAATTTAACCATGTTAGATTCAGTTCATTAGTAACTCTTAAAATATTTTGATACTATATTTTATAACATCTTCTGCATTTGCCAGTCTTGTTTCACCCATAAATTTGATGACTACATCTTGTATATATTTTTATTATTACGCTAACATTGATGGTTGAGGATTTAAGGCAGGATTCTGAGGAAACTACCCTCTAGGAAGTAATGATCTGGAGAAGCTCAACCTGCTTCATTGTTCCGATCCCTCCTATATGTTTTAACCTCTCTCCAGAGTAGGACAAAACTATTTATTGGGGAATTAACATTTCCATAAATGCTATTCTAATACAATTTATTTCTTTGACAAATTTTCTGATGCTCACCATCTCCCTACCTGTAGACCTAATAATCTCCATACTAACAATCTACCATTTTAAAACAAGTTTAAGATAAATTCTGCTATCCTACATCTAGAAACATTTGTCTGATTCTAGCTTCTTAGTCCCATGTGGAAATTTCACTTCCGGGACTTGTCATTGTTTTACCCAGACACCCTAGCACTGGTTCCTATCACTGTGTGTCAAAGCTCGGTGGCCTTAAATATTTTAATTCTATAATAATAGTGTTGGGAATTGTCTTTTTTTCTCCATGAGGTCCTTTATACATTAATTCATTCATCTATTTAATTCGAACATTTTATATTTGAATCAACTCATGTAATGTCTAAGGAAGCTGAGATAAATGTTGATGAAACAAAAATCAGGCACTGGATTCTACTTACCATCCTGAATGATTGACAAAGGGCCAATCCTTCAATATTTGCTAGATAAAGTTCTGCTAAACCTTGTAACACAATAAAACTATCAAAAATGTTCCAGCCTACTTGGAAATACCAATATGGATTCATGGCAATTATTTTAAAAATCATTTCTGCTGTAAAAATTCCAAGGAAAACCTAAATAAAAACAAAACATGTGGGTGAGAATGATTCCAATACCTGCATCAGAAACTTCAGGCACAGAAGCTTTAAGATACAACATCAATGTTCACCCCCATTTTTTACAGCTCCTCTCTCAAGAGCTGGTTAGTTTTAGAGTCTATAATGAGAGACACGTGCATTTTATTTAACAACTTAATGTAAGGTACCTATATATGGAATCTCTCATTATTTTAATAAAATGTTGAAGAAATCAAAAGAATATTTGAGAATGGAACTTTCCATTCTTGAATAGTTTCTTTAAAAATCTGGAGTATATCTTAAGAAATTTAATTTTTCCATCTGTGAGAGAATTTTTTTTAAAGTACATGTATGATCTAGGAAAAAACTATAAAGTAAACCTATGGCAACGGTCTTTTAAACTGTACTTGCAAGGTGGCTTGGGAGACTGAGACAGGAGGATCATGAGTTCAAAACCAGCCTTGTCACTTTTTTAAGCAAGACACTAAGAACTTAGTGAGAACCTGTCTCAAAATAAAAGATAAAAAGGGCTGGGGATGTGGCTCAGTGGTTAAGGACCCCTGGGTTCAATCCCCAGGCTAAATAAATAAACAAAAACTGTACTGGCAGAAATAATCAAATTAATGTTTTAATATTGAGTAAATGTATAATTTGAAACTGATAGTAGTAGTCTTGTCTGAATTGGAACCAAGTAGCTAGATGTTGACAATGAAAGCAAAGAAATTTAAACAGTATACATTTGTTTAAATGTTACCTGTTTTTAAACTCACAGAAACCCATTCTGTATTTTGCATTGTATGTGGGAAAAGGACAGGCGAATCTCAAAAATACCTTGCCAAAATTACAGGCTCCAATCTGAGACAAAGACAGGTGGTTAAGGAACAGGTGAGCCAGGAACTTTTAGAATCAGGATTCAGAATCCACAATTCAGGTGTCAGTGCCTGTAACTCCACCTGTACCTACTCTGACCTATGGAACAGAGGTACCAAGTGAATGAATGTATATTTGGGAAGGCAGAGGCAATAGAAATTTCCAATTAGGTTTACCATGAGCATCTGGGTAGGAATATCTCTCTCTCTCTCTCTCTCTCTCTCTCTCTCTCTCTCTCTCCTTTTAAACCCAGGGGCACTTAACTATTGAGCCACATCCCCAGCCCTTCTTATTTATTTATTTATTTATTTATTTTATTTTGAGGACACAGTCTCTCCCTAAGTTATCTAGTGCCTTGCTAAATTGCCGAGGCTGGTTTTGAACTTTTGATCATCCTGTCTTAGCCTCCCAAGTTGCTAGGATCATAGGTGTTTGCTACTATGCCTGGCTATAGGAATCATGAATTTAAATGATGGGATTTCAGACTCCAGATGTAAATTTTTTCAATGATAAGAACATCCACAAGATGGGAAAATGGGGGTGTAGGGCAGAGCATGAATACAATACATCATCTAATAATAATGTAATGATGCATGCTACAAATACTTGAGATATAAAATAATGAGGATAATGAAGAATGAAGGAAAACAGAATTTGCAAATGAAAACAATGTACAATGAAGATCTTACCAAGTTGCCAATGCTTAGCAGAAGAATGAAGGAAAACAGAATTTGCAAATGAAAACAATGTACAATGAAGATCTTACCAAGTTGCCAATGCTTAGCAGATAGCTGTGGTCATCACTCATTGGATAGTGTTCCCAGGCCAAAAAATATATGTTTAATATTATGCATATGAGAAGAAAAAGATCAGTAAATGGGTCTGTTATGAGCCTATGGACAAATTCTTTCAATTTTAACCAACAGGGAGAACAATTCCAGATCAAGAAAATTTTGGAAAACCTATACCAACACAATGGGCACTTCTTCCTGGATTTTTTAAGTTCTGAAATGAAAGAATAGAAAGGTTAAACATTAGAAAATAGTTTAAATACTAACTAATAGAAAATAATTGAATTTTATCTGCAAAGAGAGGTTTAGAACTAAACTTCTGATTTGGAGTTATTAATTAGAAATATTATATATGAAAATAAAACAGAGAAAAATAAATTTCCCCTATTTTATTTATGCCTGATGAGTTTAGCTGTGATAATGCTTTACTGGAGAAAGAAACTGAAATAAAAATGAGGCAAACTACATAAGAGTAGAAAAACATAGAGGTATCTCCCAAGAAAACAAATATAAAATAACATAATTGAGAACATTATGATTTAAAATTTCTATACTTATACAATTTACAAATAATGTTGTTCTGTATTGCCCAAGATAAAGAATTGCCAGTTAAATGTAAAAACTAGAGATGAGTCTAGAAAGGACCCTGAGATATTAATGTTATACAGTTGAGCTTTGAACAATGTGGGGATTACGTACAAAGACACCTGTGCATTAAAAAATCTTGATGTGGGGAAAATTATATTCCATGCTGGTAAGATTATGTCAAAATAAACCCAAATATTATTATAACTGTAATGCACTGATAAAAAATTTTAAAAGCCCAGATTAAGTTGACTGGCTCCAAACCTAAGTACCAATAGCCTCATGTTGACCAGAAGCTTTACAGATAACATAAACATTCAGTGAAAAGTTTATATGTATATGTATTATATATGCTAGAACTATGAGAGATCACTTTTTTCCTGAAATTTTTTATTGGTGCATTATACTTGTAATATAATGGTGGGATATTTTGTTACATATTTGTACATGCAAAACATAAGAGTATAATTTGACCAATATCAAGAGTCACTTTTAGCTGTGATATACGCTTTACTGGAGAGAGGAACTGCTCATGTGGAGATGATTAACATCATATGACATTCTCAGCAGGTGTTACCAACTGAGCTCATGCAATAGCAACAGGACATGGTTACAGGATTATTACCATGGAACAATAGATACTACAGTTAATTTTATGCAGTTATGATTTAATATTGTATTTTTACATTGGTTTACATTTTCTCAACAGCAAATAGCATGTAAGATCATGTAAGATCTGTACGTGCATGTTTTGACAATTTTAACTTTCTATAATAGATTTGTGGATATTTTATGGTATTAAGCAATAAATAGACCATTATGTACACATTTCAGGCTTTCATCAAATACCTAACTTTTTCTTAGTTTTTTCAATATTTTTAGCCTGAGTCACCTGTAAGGTTTTTAAAATTGTCACAAATCTTCCAATAAATCTGCATGTAAGTGGACCCACAGTTCAAATCTTTTATCAAGGGCAAGCTGYGTACTCCAATTTCTAATTTTAGTCACATTTTAATAGTTCAACATATTAAGATTTAGAGAAAATTCCACATTATTCTTTGATGGTAAGTTCCAATGTTCAAGACACTTTGCTTTTGAAGTTTGTATGTATCATTCATTCTCATATTCTCACAGTTTTCTTAAATTTTGTTTATTGCCACCCAAGGTTTGGAAGCTATTGCTTCAGAAATTCTGGTAGCAGGATTTATTTACAAGAGACTCTTAGGAGTAGTACCTTCCACAGTGAGTATCTGACAATTTGATCACATTACCTTCTTTATGTCTGAGGGTATCTTCTTCCAATACATCCAAAGATGTGTTCATGGAAGCTGGTGATCTTTTCTTCATTTCTATTTGTGTGGTTTTACTCTGAAAAGAAAATTAGTTTAATACTGGCTTCTACCTTTTACATGTCCAAGACTCTAACTATGAGAAGGTATCTCACCAATCTAAAATGATGATTCTTAACCTCCAGGAGACTTTCTGGGTTTTATCATTTGTAGTTCTTCATATTATTGGCAATATTAAAATGATTTAGGATTATTTGGGAAACAAATATTACAACTTGCATCCAATAAAATTTTGTACTATGAGCTAAACTATAAAAAGAGTAAATGTTAGTAGATTTTAGTGGTATTATTCATAACTGAGAAACAATTCAATAAGATTATTATAAAATATCTAGTCAGTAAATATGCTACTGATTAATAAGAATATTTTCCTAATATGTTAATTTTTTGTTTAAAGACATGTTAACTTTATACCTTTGTAAATTATCTTGATAAAATAATATGATTTGGCTTTTTAATGATGAAATAAGTCTCCAAGAATATCAGATAACTGAATGAATTTTAAAGAGTTGCCTGGGATAGGTATCATTTCTTTCTGTTTCTCATGTGTCTTAAGTAATGTTTTTTGTTTTGTTTTGTTTTTAAGTGATGTTCTGCTTTGCTCGTCTTTTTAACAGGTTGAAATAATTCTTGCATGGGAAAGGTGCTCAAAAGTCCTAGGATTTGATGCAGATATTACAATCTCTACACATTCCTATTAATCACAAGAATGGCCAAAGATATTTCTAGTGATGTACAAAATTGAACTCATCTGACAATGAGTAGATATTGCATGGTAGTGATTTCCAAGTGTTTTCACAATGGGAGCACAAAGAATGACAATATTTCTGTATTTGTTAATGTGCTGTAGATAGATGAGACTGCCCTTTAATGGAGTCATGGGGGCTGCTGCTGCCCCAGCACTGAGGAAATTGGTTGAGGCTCACTGATAATGCATAGCCATCATATTCTTGTTGGCAAATTCTGCTGTGGCATATCTGAAGTGGCTAGTAGCTAGCAATGGAGTCATGATATTCAGTTCATTCGGTATCAGCCAAATATCCTTTAATTTCTTAAGTAGTAGAGTTAGAGAAGTTAAAAACCACTTATACTGCATACTGAGCCTCACCAGGAAAATGGCAGACATGGTGGGACTACAGAGCTTTATTTCCTCACTGAAAAAATAAATTGAACGGTAAGCTAAAAACTTAGGTTGTGAGATTAGTTTATTTACTAAAATTGTGTTTTCTTCAGAAAGTATATTTTAGCTGAATTACAAGGTTACACAAAATAGAAGTTATAATGTATAGAATTCTAATTTTCCATGAGATAAAAACCAACAAAAGGAAAAATTTGATCAGGGTTTTATATATTTTACTTTATGTTATTTTTATCATACATATGATATTTTGCAATATAGTGCAGAATATCCCAATTAATTCCTAAATTCACAGGAATTACTTCTTATGGAGCTATTGTTTAGAGAGCAACAATAATTGTTGGGATCGCACTAATGAAAAATAAATTATCCAGCAAAGATAACTAGTATGTGTGAAAGGGGTTGAAAGTGAGATCATCAAGAATGTTACTGCTACATAGTCGAGGCTCAATTTTTTATTAATTTAGCCTGAACTATGAAGATATTTTAGAATATAAAAAGAATGAACCACATACAAGGTTAGTAATATGTTTACCTTGACTGAGCTTCTTATAAACTTTGAATGAATGCCCACAATTTGGTTAACTAGTAAGGATATAGTTATTTACAATGCACTAGCTATTTTTTTTTTAAAATTTAAGAGTTGATTTCCTTATTACACAAAATCGAAGTTATCATTTGCCTGAACTTTAAACAGCCCTACATCATGATTAGACTGGGAAAAGGGGCAAGGATTCTTCTTTTCATAACTGGTTTAAATTTTCTTTGCTGGAGATACATGAATAAGGAAGAACACTGGCCTACTTCCTGTTCACTTATCTCTGAATATCCGGCCTGCTCATCATGGACTTGTTCTCCTCATGAAGCCACAAAGGCCCTTCTAATCCTCTGATTCATCCTGCTCCCTCCTTCCCCTTAGTGCAGATGCTCCCTTCCACCTCTCTGCTCAAGTGCCAGTTTCTTATAAAAACCTTTGCTGACTCAGACATCATTTATTAAAGGCTCTCAAAGCACCATGTCCCTCTGCTTTATTGGACTTGTCCCATTTGAATTAATATTTTTTTAAAAAAACAGGGGATAATACGATGAATAGCAATGTATCCAGTATCCACCCCAACAATTTATTTCATTTATTTTCACTTTATTTTTTTTCTGAAATATTTAAAATAAAATTCAAACATCACATAATTTTCAGAAAAACCTTTTAAAAAGACATATATCACAGTACCATTAAGACGATCAGCAAATTGGTAATTCTCTAATATCCAACACCTAGATCATACTCAGTTTTCTTTCATTGCTCAAAAACATTCCACTGTAGTTGAATTGTTCAAATCAAATACAAGCAAGGTCAATATACTATATTTCTTTGGGAGATTTATTAACTATCTTTGATTTTTATGAACTATCTTGTGATTTTTATTTATTTTCTCTAATATGACTTATTTTTTAAAGATACAGGGTCACTTCTAGTATATAGAGTTATCCAATTCTTTATTAGACATACTGTATCCTTTTAGTACAATTTAATAGGTGCTTCTTTCTCCTGTCTTTCATTAATAAAGGCAAAAGAATATACCAAAAGGCTGACTAGATTTAACTGGGATCTCAGCAAGAGTATAATGTACATTGGGCATTGTGTTTCCTACTCGTCCTCATTTTGTGTTCCAGAGATACAATTTTATGTTTGTGTCAATTTTATAGTTTATTTCCCCACGAAGCACTAGCTTCATGAAGATAAACACTGTATTTGTATTTATTAAAAGTTTTTCATCTCCATTTCTTAGTTGAGTTGGAATAATGCTTTAAATTAATTACTTACTTGAGCTACATGATGTTGGCTTAGATGTGAAAATATTTTTTTTAAATATTTAAAATACTATASTTTTTTATTTTTTTATTTTTTKGGAGTACTAGGGATTGAACTCAGGGGCACTTGACCCCACTGAGCCCCATCCCCAACCCTATTTTGTGTTTTATTTAGAGACAGGGTCTCCCTGAGTTGTTTATCACCTTGATTTTGCTGAGGCTGCCTTTAAACTCTCCATCCTCCTACCTCAGTTTTAAGTGTCTGACTTTCTTCCTGAGGTTTTGCCAGTAGCAAACAGTAGGAAAGTTTTACCTGCACACTGTGTAACTGGAGGAATGACAGTGTCTCAGCATTTGCCCTCCAGAAAAGGCAGAGAAGTGCAGAATGATGGGTTCTCCTCAATTTAGAGAAACCTGATACCAGTGAGTATAGATCACACTAATAGTGGGAACAATAAGGATTAAACTTGAGAATTCTGGAGGACAGGTCATATATCTGTCACACAGGCTAATGATTAACTTTATTGGCTGTTAATGTTATCATTGCTCATGTTGTTTTAATTATGCAAACATACAAAGACTTAAGAATTTTGTATTAATGAACATTTCTTCACTGGGACAATGGTGCCCATTGGCTCTTTATAATCTTTATTACATATGAGTTAAAGTTGATAGTGTACAACTATAAGAATTTTAATATTGGGTTTATATTGTGGCTAGTTCTACGTTTTCTTCTTTGGAGACTAAAACTCAATTTTCTCATATAAGATTTTATGATAATTTCTATGACTCAAAAGGTTGTCATGTGGGTAATGTTATCACGTATACAAATCATCTTCATAGAATTTGACACACAGTAAATGAACAATACCTGTCACATGATATGAATATTATATTGTTATAAAAATCTACATCTGAAATGTGAGGTTTACTCAAAGACAGATTTTTTTTTCTATAATGATCAAGGTTTTAAGTGGATTGTTGTGTGTGATAGTTTGGTTAAAAGCCATCTTTGATACTGACATGTTATTATAATTTTATTAATATTTCCTTATAAAATTTTTATGTTGCCTAATATCATCTAAACATGACAAAGTGCTTTATGTGTGTTTGTTTCATTTGGAATTCCCAACTACTTATAAGACAGATACTGTAATCATATATATTTGATATATAAAAAAAATTAGCAAGGATAGTAGACTTCACAAATATCATACATCTATTAAGTGGCTGAAATGAATTGAAACCTATTATATAAATACATAAATCTACATATTTATCTGATAGCAATATGACCTGCATCTTTCCTATAATATGGTAATATGAAGAATCTAATCCATCTCCCTATAATTCCAGCATTGGAATTGGAATCTAACTGTTCTTTAATCACATTAGTCACTTAAAGAATCCTTGGTATATTACATTTTAGATTCTTCTCTCCCTGTGTTTCTTTTATATAAAATAAAATAAGTCTTAAGAATTTTTTTTTTTAACTCTTACTTCCCAGAAAACCCTGCATGACCAAAAGTTGTAAGCATCTTCCAGGAAAAGAAGATCTTTAAAATTGAAAGATTTTAATTAAAACCAGGAAGGCTTTATATAATCCCAAGTAGCAAACTGAGAGGAGATATTGGGAAATATTCAGTTCTTTCATAATCAGAGCTAATAGAGCATTTCATCTTGGGATAAGAGGACTATTGTTCTACTCTTGGATACATTTGTGGGTACCCACAAGTCCTTGAGATCCTGAAATGCCTCTTCAGAACAAATTACATATTCAGCATACCATTCAGACACTAATCATTCAATCTGAAGGACCTGGGACTCATTTTTGGACAAAAACAGCTTCTGTAATTTGTTTTTCTGTGACTTACTCATGAGTGTTAATAGCCTGCTTTTTATACATGTTTTCTTCACAGAGTTCATAATTGCTTCTTGTTCAAGGGTACATGCGTTACAGACACAACTATCTATCAAGCCATTGGATATGACCCCACATCCTGTCATTTAGGCTCTACCTTTGGGTATGGTGATTTTCTGGAGCTTCTACCACTAATGGTGGCTTAATAAAACATTTATATCTTTGGGAGAGTTAACACTGCCCCCTTTTGGATTTAGAAGGGAACTTTGTTATTAATGAACCACACTACCAGCCCTCCACGTCCAGTTTGGTGTCAGAGTATATGTTGGCTCTTTCCTTTTCCCTGTGTCTTATCAGCTTAATGTGGAAGAGTTTCCAGGTATGGCTCCTCTCTATGCTTCGTCCTCTGCTTTAGTCAAGACCCTTTTCTCATCTCTTTCTCACAGGAAGAGCTGTGAGAGTTCCTGAAAAATAACAAAAAGTATTTCTGGTGGCTTTCTTCAGTTTCTTTCTTTCTTTCTTTCTTTCTTTCTTTCTTTCTTTCTTTCTTTCTTTCTTTCTTTCTTTCTTTCTTTCTTTCTCTTCTTTTCTTTTCTTTTCTTTTTATTTTTTTAGTTATTGGTAGACCTTTATTTTATTTATGTATTTATATGTGGTGCTGAGAATCAAACCCAGTGCCTCACACATGCCACTGAGCCCCAGCCCCAGCCCCCTCAGTCCTTTTCTTTTTAGCACACTTTTAGCACTATTAAGATTTTAAAAATTGATTTCCCACAACTTCATTAATGTTACTCCATCGGGACTTTCAAATTCACAGACTGAAATTTTTTGCTATGAGGCTAGTAACCTGGAAAAATATTCAAATGCAACATTAATTAAAAATTAGGGCAAAATATTTTTAGTTTTTACTACTGAACGATTTAATTATTCCATGGGTAAATTAATTCCCTATAATTATGAGGCACAGTTTATTTCCTCTTTGAAGGAAGTAGAAAGTCAAAAATTTTCTCTTTCTGTGATTTTGGTACTGTGTTCTTATCCATTCTTTCAGTGCTTCATACTTTCTAAGTTATGATAGACTATCACTTTTAAGTTGGACATAGGCATTTTCCAAAGTTAATTCTGATGTTCTCTGTGAACCAAGTTTAAATCAGTAAAGTGTAGCTGTATTGGGAGAATTACAGTTCTAAAGACATATAATCTCCATAGTCTATCATCAGCAGCAATGTAAATTTTGAAACAGAAAGTATAGAAATTAAATATTAAAACATGTTGGTCATTCTGATTATAATGTATCAAGGAAGGAAATTCATATTTCAATTCCTGTTATGAAACCCATTTTGWTTTTTTGATCATATTCACACAGAGATAAGGGCATCTATCAGAAAGCAATATATTCCAAGACCTTGAGAAGACACCTCCAGAACTGTGATTCTCAGAAGCATAAAAAAGTTATACCTCAGCTTCTTCGCTTCCTTCTTGAAGTTTGCTTATAGGCTGCTGAAATGTTGGTTCCTCCTTAGATTTTTCATCAGTTGCATGCTTTCCTTCTTCATAGGCCATGGCAAGTATGCCCAAGAACAAACTTGCCAAATAAAAGGCAAACCAAAAGCTGACCACAACAAAAAATACCATGTAGATCTTCCCAGAAGCATAAAGAATCTAAGAAGAAGTAGAATGCAGGAAAAAGGAGGACATGTTACTCATCTTTCTGTATTCTCCTATTTTAAAATGAACAATGAAATTGAAATATGAAAATAATTTAGTAATAAGTACAGTATAATCACAAGACAGCTTAAGTACTGGCTCTACCTGAAGAAAGAAAAATTTTCATATATATATATATATATGATATAAAATATATACTTCAAAACAAAAGGATAAATTAAATAATTTAATTAATTTAGGGAGAACAGAAATGAACAAAATAGGGGCCACTATTATGGAATAGAGTTCTGTTTAACAGTGTAGCTATCATTTATTGTGTACCTATCGTATGAGTTTGTAGCAAGAGACTGAAGGCAGATAATAGGAGACTAAAATTTAGGCACAGGGCACATCATTTATGGAAACAAGGAATTATGAGAAATATAATTAGGAGAAATAAATATATAAAAAGTATATATGTACATATATATACTCAAACAGAGTAGATAGTACATCCTGATATATTGCCAAAAGATAAATCTGGACGAGTATGTAGAAACTAGATCTGAAGGGGCACTATGTGTCATGCACAGGGACTTCGAACTTCATTCCATGGACATTTAGAAACCACTAAAGGAATTTTAGAAGGAGGATCACATGCCAATTTTATTTTAGAAATAAAAAGTTCCTGGTATTATGGAAAAAGCATCAATACTTGTCAAAAATGTTAGGAGATAACAATAAAAATATTAAATTAGCAAAATTTGAAAAACAGTTTTTTTAAAGAAAAAGATATAATTTGTAATATTTTCCTGTATTTATTTTGTCACAAATGCAATTATATTACATGTATGTTTAGTCTATTTGATTTCCATTTGATAATATATTTTGAACCTTTATGCCTAAAATACATTATTATATCATTATTAATGACACATATATACGTACAATACTTCCCATAATTTATCTTGTCAATCAAACTAAGCATAGGATGAGTGTAAGTTTTGTTGTTGTTTGCAGTACTAGGGATTGAACCCAGGTGTGTTTTCCCAATAAGCTTCATCCCCGGCCCTATTTATTTATTTATTTATTTTTATATTCTTATTTTTTGATACTGGTAATCAAACCCAGGGATGTTCTACCACTAAAGTAAATCACCTTTTTTGTTGTTGTTATCAGGGATTGAACCCAGAGGTGCTTAGTCACTGAGTCATATCCCTAGCCCTTTTTTATTCTTTCTAAGTTGCTTAGAGCCTTGCTGAGTTGCTGAGGCTGGTCTTGAACTTGAGATCCTCCTGCCTCAGTTTCCTGAGCCTGTGGGATTATAAGCATGTGCCACCACACCAGGCTCCTTTGTTCTTCTTTAYTTAYTTATTTGGGAGACAAAATCTCACTATGATGCTGAGACTGGCCTTGAATTTGTGATCCTCCTGCCTTAGCCTTCTGAGTTGCTGGGATTCCAAGCACCTGCCACCATGTGTTGCAGTCCTTATTTTTAATTTTGAGACAGGGTCTTTTTTATTTTGAGGCAGGCCTTAAATTTGTCATACTCCTGCCTTAGTCTCCTGAGTAGCTGGGATTGAAGATGTGCACTACCACACCTGGCATATGTGGATGTTTGAAAAAATAATGGTCTCTATGACCAATAAATACCTTCAGAATTTAGAGTAATTTGTACTAGTTTACTATATTTGCTATTAACTATGTTGATTTGAAATTAATTTTCATTTTCTAATGTGATGGTACTTCTCATTAAAGAAAAAACCGATCCTCCATTTTAATAAATATTGTACATTTCTGAGAATCTGTGTYACATATATAATTATTAGGTCTGAAGATGAATTCTTAGAATTTGGAGTTTAAATCTCATAGGAGCAAGCCTTCTGTTATTGTAACTGGAGCAAGAATTAGTATCAAAGTGGAATGAGATGAAATAGAAGAATAAAAAGAAACARTACACTGTTTGCATTCAAAATATTTGTTTAATACATGGTAATTTCATAGGCTTAAAATATTTTGACTAGAGAATTATCTAGAAATGCTCTTAATTAATATCAAAGGGGTAAATATCACAGGCTTTGGAGCAGGAGAGCGAGCTCTAGCAGGGACATCTGATGTGGGAAGACTGCCTAGTCTATCTGAATCTCAGTGTCATAAAAAGCAGAGGTGCTACTCAACTTAAGATGAGATCACTTCGCAATTAACTCATCACACTTTGAAAGCATCACAAGTCCTAAATGTGACACTTAGTACACCCAACCTACTGAACTGCATAGCCTAACACCACAGTACAACCATACAGTATTGGTTGTTTCCCCCTTGATGGCATGGCCCTCTGGGGAGCTGTATCTAGCTACCGCTGCCCAGCATGAAGTATTCAAAACACATATCACAAGCTGGGGAAAAGATCAAAATTCAAAATTTGAAGTGTGGTTTCTACTTAATTTGTATCATGTCAACACCATTGAAAGAATTTTAAATGAAACCATCGTAGTTGGGAACAGTGTGTACTGATTTCTTAGAATTGTTTTAAAGATTAAATAAGATATCACATACAAAAGCAGACCTGGCATGACAGCCAGTTTAGAATTTGACGTTCACTAATTCTGGTTCTCTTTTCTTCTGTCTTTAAATTATTCTCTACATCAAAATATAATGAGGTTTTTTTTTTTTTTTTTACATTTGATCATTATTTTAGAAGAGAGGTCTTGGCCCAGTTTTAAGGGTAATGAACATGTTCTCTGTTCTTACCTGGTGATAAAGTGCTTCAGGGTAATCTTGAGTCATTAATCGAAATAGGGCAAGTAAAGCCCACCCAAAGTTGTCAAAATTTGTGTAGCCAAGATCAGGATTTATGCCAGCTTTTACACACACATATCCTTCTGGACACTGACTAAAGGAGGTGAAGAAAAGAAAAACTGCTTACTCTTAGGTGACATTCAGATTATGGCCAAATCATAAATATAAAACATTTGTTCATGAATAGTAACGGGCTCCCCTTTCCACAAGAATTAGTCTTCTCTCCAAAAATGTATAGCCAAAACAATACATATGATTTTAAGTTGATACACATGAACACTGTTAATCAAGCTAAATAAAAAGGGGTTCCAAAAAATGGATTTTTCAGACTGTATTGCGTCAATTTATTTATTATAAACAGCAAATAAAAATTGTATTCATTTACAGGTACAACATGTTTAGAAATCTGTGTACATTATGAAATGGCTAAATCAAGCCAATTAACATATGTATTACCCACATACTTATTTTTTTTATGGTGAGAATACTTAAAAATCAAATGCCTTGGCAATTTTCAAGAATATAACAATATAGTGTTAACTCTATCTTTGCTATCCAAAATTAAGTGGGAAATATCCAAACGTCAAAATGAAAGTTCAGCTGTTAGAAAATGATACTGATAAAATAAATATGCCAAGATGGAGAGTTTAATTTTCACATGTTCTCTCCTCAAATCTTAGATCCTACTATTTAAGGGTGAGAAAACATTTATCACATCAATAATTGATAAGCAGAACTTGAATTTGTGGAGAATAATCAGATTAAATATTAATTTTCTTTCCTTTTAGGGACTCCTCAAACTTTTATGTTGTGGTAGATTATTACAGTAGTGACCCAAAAAGTCCTACTTCTCTCTAGCCAAGCTCTTGAATAGTTCCCTCCCACAATATTTTGAATTTAGTCGTATCATATGTTTTAATATTCATTAATGGAACAAAGCAGTATTGTTTAAAGAGCACTTGTGTTTTTTAAAAAGTCTTTTTAGTTATAGATGAACACAATATCTTTATTTATTTTTTTGTTTATTTTTATGTGGCACTGARGATTGAATCCAGTGTCTCATATGTATGAGGCAAGCACTCTGCAAATGGGCCACAACTTTGAGGCTTTCTAAATTGCAGACCCACAGAATATGAGCAAATCAGCTTTTTAATGCTATATTTAGTCACTAACTCAAGAGGTAGTTTATCCACGCAGTCAAGTAAGATCAGTATAAGTGAAACATCCCATGACATTGTCTTCTTGTCTTGAAATATATCATTGTGTTCTATATATTAATCCCCAGGTACCTTCAAAATGCATTTCAGATCTTATTTGAGTTAGGGATGTACATAAGAAGAGCTAGTTAAAGTAGGATGTACAGATACAAGATGGTTTCTTGGGTTCAATTTGAGAATAATATGGAAGCCCAGCAGTACTGGATGCAATGATTTGTGCTGAGTAGGTGACAAAATGTCTAAATCACCTGAACTGAAGCTATAAAACTTATGCTACTTCCCAGAAATTATGCCTTTTGTGRATATGGGCCCCAGATCCTAAGAAAGAGTTGAGCCTGTGGATAGA